TTTGGTGATTCGCAACACCAAGAAACCACCAAGTATCTCCAGTCAGACACGTTAACATTCTTTATTGTTTCATCCTGAATCAAACAAAGTGCAGCCTCACAAACAAGATTTTTGACGAGCAAATGTGTATTCAAGCAAAGCATATGTCCCTGACAGTGTCAATAAAATTTATTAATGGGAAGATCTGGGTTTTTACTCCTTTGTAGAACTTTTGACTACGCATCACTTTTCTAACCTATGTACTAAAAAGATATAATTAGTATTTTTCCTACTAACATATTGCAATCAAAGTTCTCTTCTTTTATATATAGTATTCCCCTAATTTTAAAAATTTCATTATCTTATTCAGATCAAGCACAGTAACCATTGAAAAGAAAAAAGAAAAAGAAAACCTGCTCGGTCATAGACAGCTTTAAAGGTTTGATATTAAAATTGCACCCGTTCACAATGAAAAGAACATGAATGCATACACTACAGTTCATTTAGCTCATGTTCAAGCTTTTTTTTATAAATTAGAAAGTCTTGCTGGAGAAAACATAATTTTGCTTTATCTTTTCGGTAAAAAAAATAATAATAAAATAACTTCCAGGTGTCTAAGCGATTTCAAACGACTCATAGTGTCTTATTTCTCCACTGCATTGATCTGTGAACAAAGGCCGTTCTTTCCAGTGGCCCGGCTTTTATCAGAAATATTGTTGTCCTTCGTGATCGTGAAGAGTGAGGGCTTAAACAGCAATGAAACAAGTCCAAAGTTGAATCCGGTAAGTCGGCCAAAACGCGAGCATCGCAGGGAACGAATCCCATAGGAATAGGTGAAAAAGGATAATAAAAAGTCTAGGCTATTCTAAAAATATCCGTATATGCATTTACAACTCATATTAAGCCGCAATTAATCTTCTTTCCACTGGAATAGTATTGCCGCCATTTTGAATTTGGCAATGTCACATGGTCGCGCGTGGACCAATCAGACGTTTTTCGAATGGGGAATGCGTAGAATAGGTCAGCGGATTTCAGCAGAGTATATTCTAAGGAGCTCGAATCGACTCTAAGCTATAAGCAATCTTTCTTCGGTGGAAGCATAAGAATGCCAAAAATACGAATGTAAACGTTGTTGATGGTAAGCCCACAGCAAAAGATGGCAAGAGTACATTTAGGAAGTGGTATACTTTATGGACCGTATTCGAAAGACCCATTTACAAGCGAACTCTTCCGAGTGAATCTTTTATCGAGAAACCTGTTGTGTATTGTGAGCTACCTACTGAGTTAGAAGCGCTAAGAGAATCACCCGAATTAACTGTTAAAACTGAAACTATTGGGTACGGTAAATATTACGAGCAACTGGATCGGTGAAATTCAACAGTGTCTCTGATCAACACAAAAGCCTTAAGGAAGAATTCAGTACTTCAGTCGCCAGCTTTTGGATAACAATATCCTTGCTTTCAATTTTTGTATCGAGTCCATTGATTTTATCTTTCTTTATTTTTATCATCATTTATGCAATTATCGTAATCGCGTTTTTAGTGATCAATCATCNGGCCAAAACGCGAGCATCGCAGGGAACGAATCCCATAGGAATAGGTGAAAAAGGATAATAAAAAGTCTAGGCTATTCTAAAAATATCCGTATATGCATTTACAACTCATATTAAGCCGCAATTAATCTTCTTTCCACTGGAATAGTATTGCCGCCATTTTGAATTTGGCAATGTCACATGGTCGCGCGTGGACCAATCAGACGTTTTTCGAATGGGGAATGCGTAGAATAGGTCAGCGGATTTCAGCAGAGTATATTCTAAGGAGCTCGAATCGACTCTAAGCTATAAGCAATCTTTCTTCGGTGGAAGCATAAGAATGCCAAAAATACGAATGTAAACGTTGTTGATGGTAAGCCCACAGCAAAAGATGGCAAGAGTACATTTAGGAAGTGGTATACTTTATGGACCGTATTCGAAAGACCCATTTACAAGCGAACTCTTCCGAGTGAATCTTTTATCGAGAAACCTGTTGTGTATTGTGAGCTACCTACTGAGTTAGAAGCGCTAAGAGAATCACCCGAATTAACTGTTAAAACTGAAACTATTGGGTACGGTAAATATTACGAGCAACTGGATCGGTGAAATTCAACAGTGTCTCTGATCAACACAAAAGCCTTAAGGAAGAATTCAGTACTTCAGTCGCCAGCTTTTGGATAACAATATCCTTGCTTTCAATTTTTGTATCGAGTCCATTGATTTTATCTTTCTTTATTTTTATCATCATTTATGCAATTATCGTAATCGCGTTTTTAGTGATCAATCATCTTATGTTGTATGTAGATGTTTATAAAGAGGTCTTTGTTATTTCAATGTTTAAAGAATGGCATGTGATGTATTAGACAAAGCAAATCAATTGACCTGAAACAATGAAGGTGAAAGAAGATATAAGATCTCGCTATGCAAAGTATGTTTTCTTGCCAGGAAAGATAAACAGTGTGATCTTCAGCCTAGTCCTTTTGGGCCTTTTTACAGACCGAAATGACGCATTTCCCTACCCTTTCATATACTTCACCTAGGGAAATCGCTACCCTTTTTTATACCTTTGAATGACCTCCGGAACCAACACACTTATCTAATGCATGCACACGCTAGCCTGTATACAGACGTCCCCCCATGATTGTTCAAAAAATTGAATGAGTTCATTTCGCAGTGTTTTAAATCAAACCTCATAAAAATACTACTGATAACAAACTAAAAAAGCCTTTTCTTGGCTTAAAAACTCTGTCCATGTCGAACCAATTTGGTTTAGTTTAGACAATTTAACTCTGTGCGGCCACTCTAACTACAGCTCAATGGTACTGCACGCGATTAAAGAAAATTTCAGATGCGCTGAAGCTTTTCTCCTTCGAACGGGACGATTTTTTTCTTATTGTTTTCCTCAAATATATAGACAAGCTGTCAATAACAAGAAAAAAGTTTAAATAAACTCGAGATACTGTACGAAATTTTAGTGGGTTCTAATTTTTACGACTTTTGCGATTTTTCCAGCGATCCGCAAAAATAAGTTCCTAAAAACAAAAACATTTTTCCCGCAAAAATTTACTCCAGAGTATTAAATATACTCTGACTAAATTTTATTACACAACTAAGAAATCGTGTCTGTTCAATCAGAACTCGCCTCTTCAATTCAGAAACAAAACGGTGTACAATGAATTGGTTCTACATATAGTGTACGCATACCGTAGTACTGTTTGAAAATCTCTATTTCAGTTACACCCTGATTGCACGTACCAAGAGCCACACAAGAACGAAAATATTATCATTGCTGGGTACTGGGTACTTTTTGAAAATTAATTCTCAGCGAGAGAAACCAATGTGTCCTAGTATCGTGAATGCCGTACGGCCGTTCTTCACGATATCCCAGTTTTAAGCAAAAACAGGGTTTACTTAACAGCTTCAATCCTCACAGTATTGATAGTCGCTTATACACTACACCTTTAGCACTGAAAGAACTTAGATATTCGAAATCAAAAATTAGGTTAGACAGTCGTTCAAGAGACAACGAGAAATACAACAATTAAATTAATTTATGAAGCTTACAAATTGGGGTGTTAGTCTAAAATCTGACAAACGAGGGAAACTATATTTTAAAATAACAAAGTTTAGAAGGAATAAAATCACGCCATCTCAGAATCACCCTACACTCTTGCTTCACAACACCTAGTCGCAAAAATTAGTTTCCGCGAAACAGAAAAAAATGCCCAATCCGCAAAAATAAACTTCCGCAAAAATTTAATTTCATGCCACACGGTACACCCACCTAGCTTGTTTTGTATCGACCATCAATTATCATTATCATTTATCTATAGTTTCAGTTCAAACAGTTTAATGAGACCCGTGGGTTGGGGTGGTGTCCGGCACGAGAATGCCGGTTTAGCTGGGTTCAGTTCTTCCTTTCATACGCTGTCAGCTGTCGGTTGTGGTAAACTTCTCGTTTTCATACAATACATAATTTCTATCTAGTCGAGGTTTTATGGCAGCTCAGTATACACTTTCTGGTGTCTAGTTTAAAAAAAAAACAGTTCATCGGCTTCAGTTTTAAATTCTTTTAATTTTACTTTCCTTAGGAGTGTATTCTATTTCAGAAACGTTTGTATTTCACACCGAAATATATACATTTTGTATATTCATACGTAGCTTATGTTGCTTTTATTTTTCTTCTTGTCTTTGCCGTGAGGATCAATGTGTTGTTTTTTTTTTCCCGCGAGGAAAACGAGGAGCACGAGGACATGCCGTTGTTATGGTAAATGATTGTTTTTTGGATCTTCCGTTTTTTTGGTAGAGAAGACTCCATATGATCTGAGATCACAAATCCGTTTTTGGATTCTCCCATAAAAACCCACCCTGAGTTTAACTCATTATGTAATAATAATTCCGCTCACCTTCAGGTTCATAAAATGTTATTACTGCTGTTCCTTTTTTGCTCAGGATCATTTTCTCAATATCTCCGCCGCCATTTTTCCGACGCTGAAAATGAATAATAAGATCTTCAGATGTTGAGCCGAGTGTTCGAAACCCTGTTACAAATACTGAACGAGGAATGCTTGTCCAGTCGATTTCGCTTATGTCCCCTTCCACTTGTACAACTACCGAACCAGCGAATATCTCCCTTTCCGGAACGATCGAGGCCATTACGCCAGAAGTTGTTACACTGAAATGCTCTGGAAGGGAAACAGAAATTACTTCGAGTTAGCGAGAGGTTCGAGTTATCGAGGGTTCGAGTTACCGAGTTGAAAATTGCAATCTTTGAAAGATGGTCCAGGGGAAATCGATTTTGGTTCGAATTAGCGAGGGTGCGAGTTATCGGGAGCCGACTGTATTTCAGCTGAGTATTTGTTTAATCATTGACTGGAATTGTGTCCTGGATCTAGCTAGAACAGAATAAATGAAGTTTTTCACCCTCGCTCATTAATACGACAAAATATTAACTTCAATGATCTTTTTCCACTTTTCAATGGAACAACCTCTATTTTGGAAAAAAAAGAACTTTACCTTGCTCCTTGATGTCTGGTTGATTTTTCACCTCTAAAGTAAATGGACTGCCCATGATCGGGTTTCCTGATACTTCGACTGACACAGTGAACTTTCCAGGCGTTTTTGGCTTGTAAGAGACTGAATAACGGCCGTCCTTTAAGTCTGTCACAACCGTCTGCAGTGTCTGATGCCCCGACAATGAAATGATTTTTGCAATGACTTCATCTATCGTGTTGTAACTTGTTTGGCCTTGTACATTCATTGTAGTAACCGTAAAAGTGCCATCCACGCCTACAAACCCCTCTGTGAGATTCTTGCCTTCTGCAACTGATAATAAAGGCTCAGTATCGCTGGTGACTAACTTTCCCGGTGTGTCTTTTAGAAAGACATTATTTTGCATGTACTTGACCTCTGAGTAACCCAGCTTCGGCATAGCTTCCAAAGGTTGCAAGCGAACAGAGACTTCTCTAAGCTTCTCTTCGAGTACTGCTTTGACGTTTAATATTTCTGGTAAGTTATTTCGAAGAAGAATCTCCTCTGAAAAGGCTAAGGTGCTCTCAATTTCCATGAGTTTGCCGTCTAACATAGTCATTTGATTGTCAACTGCATTTTTTAAGGCTTGTTTCTGCTTGATTAACTGCTCGGTCACACTTGCTTCGTGCTGGCGAATTGTTAATATGCAGAGTTCAGCGACTCGCTTCACTTCTTTTGTCGCTTCTTCGATACTGCCATTTACTTTCATTCTTCTTTTCTCCAGAGAGACTTTGTAACTTCTCAAACGAGACCCGTTTTCCTGAGCTTCATGAACTCTGATGCCAATTTCAGACTTAATGTTTTCAAGTCCCTGGTCAAGCGAAATCTTGTTATGATCTTGATGTTCCAAAATGGCGCAGTCACGGCAAATGCACCTTTTGCAATTTTCGCAGTAAAACCTCATTTCATCTATATGTACTGTACAATAATTTGCCCTGCGAGTATAATCTTGCACATCGCACGACTGGAAATTTCTGACATCTTTGACATGGTGGTCACTAAAAATTTTCCCTTTCCTGTGGACACCAACGCAGTCATCGCATAAAAAGCCGTTGCATTCAAAGCAGTAATATTTCAAAGCTTTCTTTTCGTCGCAGGATCCACAATGAGACGAATCTTCTTCCCCTTGGCCGCTGTAAGCCTCTACTATTTCAACCATCTGTTTGTAAAAAAGGTTGGATGGGAGGCTGTTAATGTCGCTGTTAGGACATTCGGTGATTTGGCGACATGTCGGACAACTCAACTGTCCTTCCCGATGCTGCCGTACCCAAGCTTCCAGACAAGTCTTGCAGAAAGTGTGGAGACATTTCAATATTTTTGGTTCATTGATTTGAGTAAAATGTTCCTGGCAAACGGGACATTCCAATTCTTTTTTGACATCATCAAAAAAGCTCTTACTTTGTGCCATTACTTCTAAAGGTGGACGGTGACTCAGTGAGAACAGCAGCCATACACAAAACAAGGTTTCTCGGAATTATAGCGCAAGTCAACCATTCGCCCAATTAGCCTGGTTCTCGATCCCAGGTCCTTCTCAATAAACGGTAAGCACGAATCATGCGCTGTCCTCAATAGCACTTGATCAATCAGCGCGTGACTAAATCTCACCTGTTTGCTTTGTTTTTATATATTTGCAAAATACCATACCATGGCAAAAATCAAAGGGACGGAGGAGTCAATCCCCCAGGGCTAATTCTTGATCCTAGTACTACGCATGTGAATAAAGACAAACGTCTTCTTACTGAAGAGTACACCTCTATATTACAGACTAAGCTGTCACTGTGGTCGCAAAAGTGACGCAGGTTGTTCACCATTTATAAAAAAGTTCCGGAAATTTTGGTTGGGAATTTTCGGTCGGTAAGAACGGCACGCGTCGTTTACCATTTGCTTAAAATTTCCGGATTATCGCGCCGCGCTAGACTGGATTCTAGTTACAACATGAAACTGGTACGAAACTCAAGAAACTTATAAATGGTAAACGAATTTTTTTTCGGAACGCCCCAACTGGGAAAACAGGACTATCTTTTCAGAATTTCCGTTTGTCCCGGGAATTTTCCGGTGGGACAAACTAAAAAAAACGTTTACCATTTACATCCCAGCAGGAATTTCCGGAAAATTGTGGTTAAAAGGTAAACAGCCGTAATCTTCATAGAACTTCTAACTCTACAGAGTTCTAAAGTGATGACGTCATAACAATTGAATTTGTGCAATTATGGGATTTGCCAAGATATTCTGAAAGAACAACGTCCAAGACGCCTACTTGCCAAAAATTAGCGTTGCGGGGAAAAATGTCTCTGAGATATTAGCCCAATTATGCTCTGATGACTCCATACAAATCCTTCAAAATTTGACTTCTTCTAAAAAAATAGGGTCTAATAGCTCCCCCAGCTTTTAGTGTTGCAGGGATATTTTGTTTTTGTTTTCTTTGTTTTCTTGCCTTGCGCTGAAAACTGATGTCCTATCATACATTGGAAGTATGCAGTACTACTACTGCGTCTACTTCTACATGGATATTCCTCAACTCAGTGTTTCTTTTGGGGAATCATTTCTTGAATCAGTTTTCCTTTTGCATTCTATTGGCAATTATTAAACAAACTTATAGGCAAAAAGGGATATTGATTACTATAATCCCTGTTACTTTTGAATTTTATTATCTTCAAATGTCTAAACTAGCATACCTGGGGGGCCTTATGGGTAAGGAGAAAATCTGGATAAGCAATATATGTAGTACATACATCGCCCAATGTCAGAATAACAAATTTTAAAGTAATGTTTCAAGTGTGCTGGATCGATCGGAAGGTCCAGAGTTTTACCCCTCATTATAAGCCCGAGAACGTACGAAAGTAAGGAAGGGACGCCTTTCATACACTTTTATTAATGCCTTAAAACAGCATGACATTAACAGTAAATTAGCCCTGACTGTTAAATTATCTAAACGAATTTAATTCATATAAATCAAAACAAGAAAGCACGAGCTCATTCTCTCTTTATGTAAATCTATCCTCGGCATTTAACCTAAGATGACAAAAAAAAAAAACAATTTACAATAAAAGGATAGAGCGTTCTAAGAGAAAGTCAAGGAAGGCTTCATATCGTGTCCTTTTAGGGTATCTTAATTAGTGGAAAAGATGGCAGCGGAATTGACGAGCGGCTTGGCTGCTGAGCTCAGTAGTCATTCGAAGAGCTCGATTATCGCTAATCATGCACGGGTAAAAGTCAAATCCAGGTTTCTGTTTACGTTGTTCAAAAGCATTTAATTATCTTTGAATTTTAACTATTTATTTAAGAGCATCCAAACGTGAAATTATTGGCAAAAAATTAACCTGAATTTCCCTTGTAAGCGTTGACATCTGAATTCAAATTTCTCGCTAAAAATGGGTTTCTTCTTTAAACAACACAACCCTTAAGGTTATCTTATGCTTGCAACTGAACCGTAGCACCTATCCCATTTGGGGTTACCTAATGCGCGGCGGTAAGTTTGATTTTGACAAGACAAGTTGTAACCTGGCATCTCAAACAGTAGTAAGATTGTACCGTTGTCAATCACCTTCCTTGTTCGCTTGCAAAATTTCGTCTTACCAACTAATGTGCTCACACTGACAAAGGTAACGCTGCACTTGCAGGTGTTCTTTGTCTTGTAAACTGTCTAATGGTGGGTGCCGTAAATAATCTTCATTCTATATAACCATAATGGTCTAAAAATTTATAGAAAATGACTTAGTAGCAGTCTACATACAACGTTCACCTATTTTACTGACGACATTATCATGCTGTCAGCTGAACAGTAGTAATAGAACGTTCAGGTGCAGCGTAAGAAGGTTTCTCAGTTTTATTAGCGGATTCCTTTAACAGCCAGCTCTTCTTTAACTCGCCGCAGGTAATCTGGGTCAGGATATCCAAACCTTTAAACAAAACAACATCTATTTGTAAGGGATGAAGAACTGTGTATTAATGATTCATAATTTTGTTACATTATTTCTTAATTGATTGAGTGGCTTTCCTGGGACAATATTTCTTGAAAGCTGTGTACTAAATAACAAATAGCCCTGTCAGTTTTTCAATTGGTTTCCCCTCTTTTTTATTAACTACTTTATAGTCCGACGACCGGGCAGTATATACCAGTTTAAGTCCAAATATTTAAAAAAAAAGGTTTTTTAAGGAATTATTGACTCGTGCGCATACTTTTTTTCGTTTCCCCTCCCTATTCCCGTTTATTTCGGTTACAGGCCAATAGTATCAAAGCTTATCCCGGTTTCTGTAGCATGAAGTGCATACGAGAATTGCAACTCAATCCTGGACGGTCCGCCCGGGATGCTAGTCCATCACAGACTTATCCTCAGCAGTAACAATTACTGGTGTTCATAACACCTTTCATTAATTTATTGATTCTTGCCTTAAAGTGTTACCCTGGTCAGCTAATTTATGTATTCTTACCCAGTAGGTCCTCCACTCGTGCTAGTTTTGTGATGAATATCATTCCATACCACCTGATTTGGACGTCCCGTTGTATTTGAAGTGCCAACCGTAAACACCAGTCGAGCGTCAAATGCTCTACTTAGTAGCTGTAGAACCTCTCGTCCTTCACGGTTGCCTGGAAGATAAGCTTCCCTTGAAGTACCCTCGTAATGATGGCCAGGGTGTGGATGTTCTTGGCCCTGAACCCCAGATGGAAAGTAATATCTGATGATGATTGTGCCACACCCTGCAAACAGGCAAAGCAGAGTATATGTACAGGCATGTGCAGATCCTTTCGTCCGTCAACTCCTCTTTGCGCAAGAATAAATTAGTCAAGCTGTAGTTCAAGAGGTTTTTTAAAAAAACTGACAGCCTACGCACCCATAGAAATTAAAGTAGTCCGCCCCTCAAATCGCTGCTCTAAGCCTTCCTCGATTTTCAAATGGGAGCATTTCGAAAGAAAATTGAGCGGGATCAAGTCAGTTCATTTTCACTTGGAGAGGCGTGCTCGACAACCAAATCGAATGAGAGAGCCTTTATTCAGAGACCCAGCTGTGTTAATCTAAAATAGCAGTCGAGCGACTAGAACTTGATATGTCACTGATATGTCGCTTTCTTTGACGAACTCCACCTTCACCTATTCCCCGACCAACTAGATATGTTGCGCTACAACCTACTTTTCAGGGCGCCGCCTTGGCTGCTTACTAACATTACACATATCATTTCTGTGACACAAGAAAGTTAAAGCAACGACGATGACGACGGAACTAAAAACGTCACTAATGAAGTAAATTTGTGAGGTTATTATCATCATCATCATTATATTATTATTATTATTATTATTATTATTATTATTATTATTATTATTATTATTATTATTATTATTATTATTATTATTATTATTATTATTATTGTGACGCCCATGCAGAGTTGTCGTTGCTGTTGCTGTTGATTTTTCGGCCTATTACTTTTTGAACCTCGCGGTGCCACTAACAGTACCGTCGTGTTTGCTGTAGGTCCCTAATGTCGCCAGCGGTTGGTTGTTTGTAAACGAGTTTTAAAATTACCTGGGTAACCTGGGAGACTTCTATATGACTCGTGATAGCTTGTCATTTCTCCTCGTGGCTGGTTTCCTCGAAGAACTCCTTGAGGTTCTTGACACACGGGACACCTGTTGTTCACTTTCAGCGCTTGTTGAAGACACACTGAACAAAACACGTGCCGACACTTCAAACGTCGTGGCCCAGTGATATGATCAAGACAAATTGGGCATGTTTCTGAAAAAAAGGGATAACAACAATAGCATTCAGATGTACACTTTTTACGGCATTTACGATCTTCTTTCACTGATGCGGGCTTAGCCACAACATCACTGAGATTAATCGGCGATTACATCATTCTCTTGGTGAGTTCCCTTTCAGTAACATTCCACAGTAAACCTACCTGTTCGTCTTAGTCACGGTTATTCTTTTCTCATTCTTACTTGTACTGCAAACTACTGAAATGGGGTAATTTCGCTGTTTAGTTTATGTCAACTTAAGGATCTTGTAACTGATTTATCTCGCAAAGATTAACTGATAACAGACTTGTTACTCTCTAAGTCTCGCTTAATATATCGCCAGCTGACCTGTAATGATAGTTGAAACGGGGAGAAGTACATGTAATTATGTCAAGGAAGCTGTGATACTAAGTTTGTAATAGAGCGGTTTTCACTTGACTGTCGTAAAACCAAAACCAAAGTAAATACACTAGCCAACCAAAGGGCGTAGTAAAACCAAAACCAAAACCAATCCCTTTCGACAGTCAAGTGAAAACCGCTCTATATTACGATAATATAATGCTAACTTTAATACGAAATCAAGAGATCATTCTCTCTTGTACGAAATTTGACTGTTCGGAGTAAAAGGAGAC